TTTTTTTTTTTTTTTTTTTTTGAGAGAGAGGGCGTGGGGGCAGCAGAGAGAGAAGGAGGCACAGAATCCGAAGCAGGCTCCAGGCTCTGAGCTGTCAGCACAGAGCAGGATGCGGGGCTTGAACTCATGAACTGTGAGATCATGACCTGAGCTGACGTTAGAGGCTTAACCCACTGAACCACCCAGGAGCCCCTGCCCCTTTGCTGTTAAGACAGAATTTTGAATTCAGTAGATGTGGGGTGGGGTCTGAGAAGTTTTGTCCATGCTGCTGCCACCACAACACACTTTGAGAACCACAGTTTATTTGTTTTGAGATTTTATGTTTAATCTCTACAGCCAACGTGGGGCTCAAACTTACAAACTCCAAGATCGAGAGTTACATGCTCCACTGACTGGGCCAGCCAGGTGCCCTGAGAACCACAGCTTTGACAGCTGTCAAATTCCCCCCAGGGAATAGGGTGGGTGGGGAATTTTAAAGCACTTTTATTTGGCTGCAAGGTTTATTTCCTTCTATTATAATATTGAGCTTCTATAGACTTAAGTTAATACACATACTTGTGGCTGTCAACACATGTTAAAGCTTATAGCACTGGGCCCGGTATTTATAGATGGTCAATAAATATTTACTGGATTTGAATATACAGCCCGTTTGATCAGAGCAGTGTGGAATTTCCAGAGTTTCATGAATTTCTTAATATCAAGGATTGCACCATTTGGTCAACGTTCAGAAAATATTTCCTTGCACCTCCTATGTACCAGGCACTACGGTAGGCCTGGGAGTACAGAGGCGGTCCCAGATGTGGACACAACATGAACATAATAGTATAATATGATCTGCTACATTCTGAGATGGAGTTAAGAAAGGGAGCCCTGCAGGGAAGGGCTCAGGGCTGGCTTCACGGAGGAGGAAAGCTGCGGAAGCTGGTGACCCGCTGCAGGCCACCGAGATCCATCCAGAACTCTACAGACAAAGAGGCCTAAAGCCTTCCCAACGTGCCCATGTAGGAAGCTGCAGGCTGATCTTGAATCCCCTCCGGCTACTCCTGGCTTACTGGGCCTTTGCTCATCTGCCGTAGGGTAAGCATGTGGGCCCTGGTTTGTCACTTCTGCTCTCCGGTGCTCTCCTTCGGGTCCCAGCGGCCATCAGTCCAGCTGGGGTCAGAAAGAGGATTAGCCAAGGAAACACCAGGCAGCAAATCTTAGCCCAGGAGGCAGGCAGTTGGGCTGCTCAGGACTTTTCCTGGCTTCCAGTCTATATTCTCTCTTCTTTCCTGCTTGTCTCTCTTCATTTGGGGGGCCCTCCCTCCCTACTCCAACCCTTCTCTGTACCAGACAAGTTCTTTTTATTTTTTACACTTGGTTGAAACTGTTCGAATCTCTTAATGGCTTTTGTTTCCAAGGGCAGGAGCCAGGCCTCTAATACCTGCAGGTGGTCAGTGCGGGTTGCTGGTGCTGGGGGTGTGGGACTCCCTGAGTTGAGAATGCAGGTCCAGCCCAGAGGGGTTAAGACTGTGGTCTGTAAATAGGAGTCACACAGCTCAGCCCTCTGACTTGCGGCAAGTTACTTACTTTTCTCTAGGTTGCAGTTTCCAGTCTGTAAAATGGGTATTATAATAACAGGGCCTTCCGTATAGGATTGTTGTGTGGCCAAGATATGTTTCAGAAGCACTTTAGTAAAATAAATAAATAAATAAATAAATAAATAAATAAATAAATAAATAAA